AGAGACGTAAAGGGTTTTCTCATCATTTCTTAAGACAAAACGTGGAATGAAATTTTTTTTTCTCCAAGATTTTAATATTTTTTTCTGTTACTAACTGGGTTAACTGACTTATGCAGGACTAGACCCTTACCTGGTGTAAATCAGGGTGATTTCACTAGCTTTGTGGTTGAGAAATGCGTCCTGTATGTTTATGTAAGTAAGAAGGTTACCTGGGGAGAACTCACTCTCCTATTGTGTGAGTTGCTGCCCCAGAAAGGGAAGATTTTATCTGAAGTGTCCATCTCTGTCTTAAAGCTGGTATTGTAGATATACGATCCTTTTGTTTCTCCAGTACATTGACCTACATCTCTAATGTCCATCAAAACATGGGAGCTAAACTTGACACAATTTGATGTAACTGCTGCTCCACGAGCCTCTTTCCATTTATTTCTACTTTGGGTCCTAGATGTTTTAATAATGGGGTATCACAAATACCCCTTTTTTGATGTGTAAGGCCCTAGACTGGGGACTGACAAAGGCTGCTGCATTCCCTTCCCTGTAGCTGTGCCCTACACAGGCACCATTATATTCCTATGCAGTTTCTTGTATTTGCTGCTTTGTGCCAAGAAGTCCGTTAGTACCTGTTCACACGTATGCTCCTCGAGGTGCCTGTGCTTTCTCAAGGCCCTGATTTCAGTAGGGAAGCAGCTCTGTGCTAAGGCCCATGCACACAGTTACCTGATTCAAAATAGATTTCCTTTTTCTTATCTGCTTCTCCGACTCTGATTGTCCTAACGTTTCCCTTACAGGATGAACCGACTACTGGGATGGACCCTCAGTCCCGACGCCTCCTGTGGGACTCCATTGTCAGCGTGCTCAGAGACGGGCGAGCTGTGGTTCTAACCTCACACAGGTAAAAAGGGTTGGAGTTCAGAAGCCCAGAGTAGCTGAAGTTCATCTGCCGGCTTTTATCTCAAATATCTGTTCTCTGTCTTGAAAGTATGGAAGAATGTGAAGCCCTCTGTACTCGTTTAGCCATCATGGTAAAAGGCACCTTCAAATGCCTGGGCACAATTCAGCAGCTGAAATACAAGTGAGTAGAATATTTTTGTGGTGTTTTTTTAATGGGAAAACTTAGTGTATGTGACACGTACCATTCTTCGCACAGCAATCTAATCTGAAGAGCTGTTGTTTAAACAGACTCATTTCTGGGTGCAACTCCGTGGTATCCTAGACAATTTGAGCAGATCTCATTTCAACTCTGTTATGCTACACACCACTTCTGCCGGGCAAATACAGGGCTTCCTACAAAGCTAGATCTTATGCATCATCTTTCAGATACTGCTAGTGTTTTCATAGCTGCAGAAAATTAAGTTCCTTCCTGAACAATGAACTCATCTCTTCATCCAATTCCCAAATCCACATGTGCTTCCCAGGTTTGGAGATGGCTACATTGTCACCCTGAAAATCAAACCTCCAAAGGCTGGGCTGCCTCCAGATCCTACTCCTGCTGAGCAATTCATACGCATGAACTTCCCAGGGAGTTTACAGAGAGAGAAACACTACAACATGCTGCAGTATCAGATTTGCTCCTCCTCTCTGGCTAAGATTTTTCGGTTAATAATCTCCAATAAGGAAAACTTGCATATTGAAGAATATTCTGTGTCTCAAACAACTTTAGATCAGGTGAGTAAAAAATAAAGCATCCATGAGAATGCCTAATTCTTGCCAGACAGGCTATGTGGTAGGGATGTGTCCAAACAACTGAAGGACCAGACTGTTCAGAGCAAAGAATTATCTTGCACGTCTTTCTCAGGCAGAATTCCCAGACCCCTCATCAAGGAGGGCAGATCCGATATGAAATCTGTAACCTGTTCCCTGTGTAAATAGGTGCCATTTGAAAGCATTTCCCAGATGACAGAATTCACACAACCCATTCCTTCGGGAGCAGCAGTCTGAGCAAGGTCAGGTGTTCAGAATGAGGCCTGCTGAGCTGGGAATAATGTTTTAGTTTAAACAAGAGATTTGGGCTGTGCTGTGTCGGAGATACTGGTTAAATGTCTGTATGTCTGTCTCGTACTTTCACACAGGAGCAATTAGACTCACAAAACCTGGAAAGTCCCCTGGGACTGTTGGCAGCACTCACTTGCTAGAGGGTATTAGCCCCACCTGCCTCCTTTCCTAAGTAGCTGAGGGTCCACATATGCAGAACTGTCTTTGATGGGAACGCTAGACAGACATTCCTGGCTGCCTTACGGCTTCCTCTAAGATATTCTGTCTCCTCTCTCCCATCACAACCAAACTCACTTCCACTGTGCAAGCCATGCAAACCTTGCTGGACCCATCGCCTGCGTCAAAAAAAAAAAAAAAGGATTTTAGTTGCAACTAAGTGCATCCAAAGGAAGGAAGTTGCAAGGAAGTTTATCAAAATAAAGAAGGAATTAATAATCCCCGCTGATGTGCAGTGTCTCAGTTCAGTTCGCGTCTAGGGGTTCCCCTTTCTGTCTCTTCCCCGCAGAGAGGCCAACAGGATGCAAACGTACAGAGACGTTCCACTAACTTATCCCCCTTGATGAGGCGGTGACGCTTTCTGCTTTCCTCACGCAGGTTTTTGTGAACTTTGCTAAGCAGCAGATGGAGGACGAGGAAATTCCTTTGCATCCCCGTGCAGCTGGAGCCAGCCGAGAAGCAAAGGTGTCCCCTGCTTTGCAGCAGCAGGCAGTTGCATAGACTATTCCTACAGTCACTAGCGCTTAGAGTGTGCACAGTGTGCCATACCAGAGCAGTGCAAGGGTAAAACAAAGGTTCCACACTCAGTATTATACTGATTTTTTTTTTTTTTTTTTTTGCACCTTTCTGAGCACTGGGCTCACAACAGCAACTTCTGCTGCTCTACCAGGAACGCTACACGCTGCAAGTGTCAAAGCAAAGGCAGGTCCTTGCTATAGAACAAAATCTTCCTCTAACATGAAGTTCCTTATAAGATACAAGAAGTCTCAATTCCTGCTTGTTGACATGTAAAGAGCATTAAAGACAGTTTCTCTGTCTGGTCCCTTTCCGGGTGGTAGGTTTTCCTTGTTGAACTCTTAAGACAGCTGCTACTGGTCAGCAGACAGGTCCTGAGGCAGAGTGTATTGCCCAGCTCAGAAGTGGATTCCTGCCATCCTGAGTGCTCAGGGTCAGAACATCGGTGCTGGCTGATGGGGCTGGTGCTGGGAGCCTGCTCCGCCGTCTTGCCAGGCTGCCAGTGAAAACAGACGGTTGCCTCAGCAAGAATGGGAAGAAATAATTCAGATCTCAGAGCCAGGCAAGAAATTTACTTAAAACAAACAAAACAGCCTAATGAAAATGATCTCATACTCGTCTTCAAGTCTCTCAAATGGAAGCAGAATGTCAAAATGGAGATTAAAAGGAGAGAGAGTATGTCCAAATCCGCCAAAAGTTTTGTTTTCTCATGGAGGCCTGGGAAGATACCTTTGTTACTAAATCAGATCAGGGTTTTTTTCTTCTTTCCCGTGCCTGGACCTTAAGTGGGTGTAAAGCGTGAATAGGGTATGTGCTTCCTCTGTGCTCAGAAGGAAAATTTCAACCCGCTTGTACTCCACACTGCACTCAGTGGGAAATCATTTGGCATTTAGCTCTTTTCTCTGGTTCACAGTTAAACGAGTGCAAAATAACAATACTGAAAACAAATTCATAATGATGTATTGCTTCAGTTATCTACCAGACCTAACCATTTCTAAGAAATCTTCTCTAAGATATGTTATGCAGAAATAAAATCTGGGTCATGTATTTTCGCTTTGTTAGGGGTTTTTTTCTTCAATTTATGTAGATTTTTTTATATATATATAAGGACATTCTTGCTTTTTACTGTACAAAATACCACGAAACTTCAGCAAACAGCTGTAGTGTTCTTTTGCCATAATTATTTCAACTGATTTAAAAATACAGTCTAGAATTTATTGCATGTTTCACCCTTACAAATAGTTGCAAAAATCTTTCTATACATCCATTATAAATAAATTAATCATGAAACAAAACAGTATCTACGCATTCTCTTCATATTCTAAAATAGCTTCTTTAAAATGTCATTCAGATAGATTGCAATAGTCTTTTTTTGTTTTTACTAGATTTGCACAAAACCCAACTAAGTTCCACTGAACATCTTGTGAAAAAGAAAACACAGGAAGTCCAAAATGTAGCTGATTTTTCTCCCTGGCTCTGAAAATAGGAAGGGGGCTAGCAGTCACTTCATGTATTTACAAAGTGTATTAAAAATCACTCAGAGAATGCTGACATAAAATGCTAGGTAAAAGGTCCTTTAGTGTCATAAGGACTTGTTACATGAAAACAGGCCAAATATCACAGATGTAGCATAGATCAGATCTTCTGAACCTTAATTACTAGTATGCAATTTGCTAACGAAGACTGCTAAAACCAAACAAAACCCCCCAACAACGCAGGATGTTGCATCCACGAATACTACAAATACTTCTTACTTCGGATTCTTTTGGCAAATTAGGGGTTAGACCCAAATCAGGTGTTTTGAGATATTGCCCATTTCTTTATTCCAGGAACCATTGATATTCTTTGGTAATGGTATTGGTTACAAAGCACCTGCCGCCAGGCAGCACACTCTCTTCTTCAAGTCAAAGAAGGCGGATCATGCAACTGTCTCCAGGCCAGCTGGCCGCACTGGCTGAGCCAAGCGCTCTAGTAGTTAGCTGGTATGTCCTCGTGCCAATGTACTTATGTCTTGCAGAATGCCACTGCTAAATTTGGAGCTGCTTTTCAGCACAGACTCCTCAGTATCTCTGATCCATCAATCTAAACAGACTAGAGCAGGGAAATCTAAGTCAGTCAGGTTACAGAGAACTGTAGGGGCTTTTGACTACCAGCTGTGCAATGAAGCCTTATTTTTTGAAGGCGCTTCTGAGCTGAGAATTCTTGAAGGTAGGGAAGTGTAGCTTTCAAGTGCGTACAGTTTCCCTCAGCAGTGGACATTCAACATGCACCAGAATCCTTTAAATTACTTCACTTAGTTGGCAGGAGGCTTATGAGCTTTTTCTTGAAGTTTCACATCAAACCTTTTTTCTTACAACAAAAAGGGAATAATTGGCATTCGAAGACTTGGATAATCCTTGAATTCTCGTAGGTAGGTGCAGTGTTTATCCTTTGCCCAAATTGTCATCTGAATGAAGCAAAGCAAGGTGAACAGCCCCACTGGAAGGAAGGGAGAAAAAGATAACGTTTCATTATCAGATTAAAAACACACTGCTGTTGACTGACATCACTTCAGGGTGAAGTACCAAAACATTACTCACCTGGAACACACTGAGTCATGATAGTGAAACTGATCCAGGTCCCCACCTGTTTTGGCCAAGGAAATTTAAAATATTTCTGGTGACAGCATTTGCATTTATGTCTCTATTGATCAAAAACAACCTTGTCCTAGTATAGGTAAATAAAAAAGCCAGGGTCAGCCGGATCAATTTCTAGTGTTAAAAACCTTTAGCCATAAAGGTGAACAGTGCCTCATCACAAACAAAACCTTCGTGTTTGGTTCCATAGCTATTATCATGACAAAATTTTAAGCATTAAACAACAGAGTGTCCTTTCCGTTTCTCTGCCTAATTTGTGTGTGTCACACCTCCATCAGCGCTAGGAATGGTAACTCTCTGTATTCTGAGGCCAAATGCCGTTCTCAACACCTGTTAGTCTCCGCTGCAGTTAAAACCTGACGCTGCCCTTCTGTGCGAGGGTGAATTTTACACTGACCTGCACTGGGTTTAACTGCTTTCGAACCGAGGCAGGAGTTTGGCTCCTGATGAAGGAATATGAAGCGATCAACTAATTCAAGCTTCTAAAGCAGTCACCCAACACAAGTGACTGTGTAACTTAAGAAAATGGGGTAGAAGACCTGGCCTATTTCCTGTTTGCTCTATCACAGTATCTTCTATTCATCTGCCCACTATCTTCCTGCGTCCTGTGACATTCCTGGGCTCTCTTATCTCCATCTCATCTCCACCAGACGCCCCCATCCCCTCATGGCAACACGCGTTCAGTGGCAATCTCCCTGTTCCTACCTGCAAAATTTGCACTGCTTTAAACTGTCTCTATCTTGCCTGGCAGCCACGCTGAAGCATAGGCCCAGGGCCTGAGCTGGCTGTTAAAGGTTAGCCCCGTAGGTGCTGCCTCAAGGGAGGAGAGGAAGAACAGACAAGCTCCCGTCTGCAATCTGATTTCATGGGGTTTAGGGGAGGAAGGGAAATGTATTGAGCTGAACTGTTTCAGAGGTTTCTTCCATGTTTAACATTCCAAAAGAAAAGAAAAGATATTCAACAAAACTAAAATCTTAACATCTGGTTTGAAAATACATACCTCATATGTATAGTTAGGGCAAGATACAAAGAAAAACAGCCATGTGAAAGGATTCTTTGTTGGATATGGGATCTTACGGGTTTTGGATCCTATAGATTAGAAAACAAATCACATATTCACACTCCTAAATATATTGTTTCCTGTAAAGACAACCCAAATCTGCACATTCCTGTGGCTCGTTACTGTCAGAGGGACAAGCAGGATGTGGGAAAACAGGATGTCCTCTGGACCCACCAGAAGGAATAGGACAACTGTGAGGAAATGTTCTGGGCATCAGAGAGTCATCTACATACGCCTTCAACCACAGTCACTCCTGTAAGAGGTACGCCAAGGTTTAGATTTAGAAGTTAACGGTTTTCTCAGATTCTCAGAGAACGGGGTTTTAGCAGTCATAGTTGGTAGCCGTAAGGTGTTTGGCTCATGCCCGAGGAACCCTGCCCTGCACAGAGATCTCGTGCCCCCCTGTAGAAGCCAGTGAAATTACTTTCCCTTGCTCACCAAGGCACGGCTTATACCAGCACTGCTTCCTTTTGCGCTGCCAGTGTAACTAATGTAACTGCTCCCCCCAACACACTTTGGCCCTAACCAGTAAAAACAACAGTACGAGAAGAAGGCGCTGTTCAACAGCCTGGTGTTGGATTCCCGCACTCTCTGATCTCCCCTAGAATCCAGCCTTTACAGGGCCGAGCAACCTGCCCACCCGCAGCAGTCAGCTGGCGGGTCTCAACTCCCTCCAGGATCAGGTCTTTCACGAGGCAGAATTAACTGCAGAAGTACTGAATGGCTGCACGGAAGTCAAAAATGATAATGCAATTTTTACCATTTCTCCGGAGGTCGCTGAGCGCAACGTGAATGGAAAAATTTCCAGCTTCACAGAGCTGCAAGAGAAAGCGTGAGAGAGTTAAAAACGTGCCTCCCTTCCATTTACTCATCTTCCTTTTGTTATTTCCTAGGGTATTTTTTAAAAAAAAAGGCGGGGGGGGATCTACTGAATCTATTATAAACAAGATTTAAAAATTGGAGTTAATGCATATAATAAATATACTTAACCAAGATTGCTCTCTGACAGGAAGATGGAATGTCTTTGTTCAAACATGAGTCCATATTATACTCTGTTATCTACTTATGATATTTGCCAGCAAATGTGGACTCAAGCGTCCAGAAGATCAAACTTACAACTTACAAAATCCCCATGAGATCTGAAGGCAGTAAATCAAAGGGGATAAAAGTAAATCCAGGAGATATTTCCTTTATCTTTTGGTTATTCTTATGTCTTTAAAAATACCCCAAAAATTGATTTGGATAGTTGTGGTTTCTCAAAAGTTATTAAAATCCCAAGGAAGATATGGGTTGGGCTCTAAGTAAGTTTTCTTCTCTAGAGCATAATTGATATGAATCACGGAATATAATTGATCCAGCTTCCTCCACTGGGGTTGAATAATGCTTCCCCAACCAATTATGTAGAAAGTGTATTGAAATGACACGTTCATATGACGATGGACAGTCACCAGTGTCTCTGCAAAGCATAACTATTAAAGCAAATGACTGGTGGTCAGAGCTCCCGAGTTTTATTCCCAGCTCTGTGCTTTCAGTTATGTAGTCCCTCTATAAAATGGGAATAGATTATTAACTCACAAAATTTTCATACTGGGAAGCTGCTTTGGCATCCTGCAGTCACTGACAATTAGTTTCTCAAAGCAAGTGAATAGCTGATGTTCTACCCCAGTTACGCATACATAGGAAAAATGGGTACATCTTTGCTGGCTACATTAACGTTGCTTCTGCGTGTATGAAGCGTTCCTAGGAACTATGGGAACGAACAGGCAGGGACTTAAGAATTTTGCTTCATAAGGAAAGCTGTAAAAAAAATTCTGAAGCCCAGCAAAATGAACCTCTATGGCTGGAAATTATCAGCAACTTTCTTAGTGGGCCCGTTCTCTGAGTGTTATGAGCTGTTGTGATTCTTAACGCTCAATAAACAGTTCACAAAACCAACTCACTGGCTTTTAAACATGGTGTTACAAACTGGTAGTTCCAGGATTCTTTTAAGGATATGAGAGATCATCCCAGCAGAAAAATATCCCAGGCTTGGAATGGGTACTGACTCAAATCTTCCCTTTAAAAACTGTCAGATTTATCTGCTCTGCGTGCAAGTGGTCAGCTTCAGTAGTATGTCCCAAGCGTTCACGTTTTAAGGGTCTGCTTATCTTACTCTTCTCCTCCACTTATACATAAGAAATAAAGCAATGTGGTTTAGCATTTTATTAAAAGATCAACAGACCTACCAGAAACATGATCACAGCAAAATTTATCTGTTTTTTCCCATAAGCTATTTAAAAACAAAAAAAAAAAAAAAAAGAAGTTTACATGTGAGTAGTACTCATATACGAACACATAAGTACTTAAATCACATTGAGGGCTGGTTTGCTACTTACAAGGAGGAGTGTAAAGAGGATGATTGATGTAATAAGCAAGCCAAGCTGCAAATCCCCAGTAATACAAGCAGTTCTGAAAAACAGGGAATTTTTCTTTGTTTGAGTACAATCCTCTAGGCCAGCATTCACTGCACGGACGGCTGACAACAATCAATTGGGCTGATCCTTCAAGTTGCTGATAATACAGAAAATTACAATACTGAGGGTGGTGAGGTGGGAGCAGACAACAGGGAATAACAGGAAGGAAGCAGTGCTCATAGAGTGAGATTTCCTCTCAAATACCTTGGAGCTCTTCAGTTTATAAACTGACTAACTTGTAAATTTTAGAAAGCACGATCACACTATTCCAAACCAATTTATCTTGTCTGGGAAGCCTTTTGGCCAAAGATGAAGTGCCCAACAGGCTGTATGCTAAAGAGAGACTTGGTTTGCTGCCCCCTGAGACTTGGTAAAGCCAGATTTAAGACTGTGCTCTCTTCCCTGCTTATTACTTTGTACTGCCCAACCCCTCTCCCTCACCCCACCGTTTTTCTTTCTTTCCCATACTTTAACTTCTCCTACCTGAAGTCATCATGCCTGACACTTCCCTCTGCCCTTTCACTGCGGTATCTTTAGTTTGTCCCTTCTGCTGCTGTCCTCTGCTTTCTGTGATCCAGCTTCCAGCCTCTGAACTCCGATAGCGTCGCTGTCACCGGCGGTTGTGCTGCCTCATTCCTGACCAATCTCAGAGCTTGTTCACAGGCTTCAGCCATGAAAAAAACTACTTACAATGACAATCTGGGTCTATGGTTTGGTTTTCCTGCCCCTGCCTCTGGTTTTTCTGCTGACACTCACTGTTGCTTCAGTATCTTGGTGACAGGTTACCTTCTCCCTCCTTGTATATCTGTAGGTAGGAAGGAGGCCTTTTCTTGGCCCATTCCTCTTCCTCCTCTGTGCTCTCACCTCTAGGTGCTGTTCTCTTGCAGACAGACTTTAACCCTTGTCAATAGCTCATAAATTTACCTCTCATCAGTTGAGATTTCTTCCTTCCAAACCTAGTGCCTCAGTTTTTAATGGTTCAGGGCATGTTTGGTTATCACCTGGACTTCAGCAAGAAGACCAAGACTGAGCTCTTTATCTTCCTTTCACCACTGCCTCTGTTCTTTTCCTTCCCCCTATCTTTTCTTCCCTCCTGTTTTCACTCTTGAGTAAAACTCTGATCCTCTTATTCTTTCTGGCGATGCTTTTTTTTTTTTTGGCATTCCAATAGGTTCACATACCTTAGACATTTCTAGGTCTTTCTGCTTTCTCCTCCACAGCTTCCCTTTCCTTTGGCTCATGCAGCAAACATTCTTATCCAAGGCTGCGTTCTTTCCTGTCCTAACTGGTTTACCTTTTTTTTTTTTTTCTGCTTGAATTTTGCAGCCTTTTTCCCCTATATAAACCAGAACTGCATTTCTAGCAATAATACCCCCAAAAGTGATTACCTCAGCGTCTGCAACCCACACTGGCTGACTGCAGTGTCTGACAGTGCATTTTTCCGAAAATGCTGGTGAGGGGTGCCCCCTCATCTGCTGCAAGCCGTTGTATCAAAAATTCTGTTGCACTTCCACTGTTCAGAGTTAACTGAACCATTGAAGTGCCCAGAAACCTCAGACAAAAGGGTCACCCTTTTGGGTACGCTGTAATACAAACACATAGTATGTCCTTGCTCTGAGATTATATATTAATAGATAACCGATGAGAAAGAACAAATCATTAACCAATAATCACAGATCAGGTGGGACAAAAGGGCAGAGAGATTAAGTGGCTTCCCTGTGATGACTTCCCTTTTCCCCAGGAAAAGCAGCAGAGCCAGAAGAACGACTCCAGTGAGGAGCAATCTGGTTAGCGTCCTACCCACAAACTGCTGCTTCCTCCCTAACGCTACCTCCTTCCACCGTCCCCTACAACTTCGTGACTGCCATACAAACCTAGGTGGAAACAGTTTCTTGTCATCTTGGAACGGCACCTTATGAAAAGCTCTTCCCTAACCAGGGGGCTTGGCGGAGGAGGGATCGTGTGGCAATGGATTTCGGTAAAGTAAAATGAAATAAATAAATGATCGTCAGCTCCCAACAATGCATGCTGTAATTAAACTGAACAAGTACTATTCATCCACAGAACATGATTTACTGCAAGAGTATTCCTCAGTTATAAGAAAAGGAGCTCTAAGATGAGTGGAGTCTGCTGCTGCTAAGGTCGTCAGCAGTGACACTGCAGATGTTCAGCTGTCACTCGAAGCTCATACAAAAGCCTCCAGCGAGGTTCAGACGGGAACAGCAGCACCCATGCTGACTTCATAGACTCACCTGAAAGAAATTGTTTCCCTGAATCTTTCATATTCCATGTGAATAATAAAGCTTTACAACGATCTCTTATAAAAGATTTTGTGGATCAAGATATTGCAGGGATCCCATAATTAAATTACTGCTAAGTTTACAAAATTATGGTTAGGATTTTCGTCATCTCCACTCCAATTGATGATCCCTATGATGATCAAAACTATATCTTAATGCCCTGTCTATGTTTATTCATGACCAGCATGTACCCTTCTATTTGTCTCATTATAGTGTCTTCTGGTTCAAATAGTATTTCTTGAGGTCTAGTGTTCTCTTTCCTCCAGATGTTTATTATAGAAAGCCACAATATCCCTTTTTTCCCATGAAAATGTTCCGTAAAACCAGTCATACAACTAATCTTTGAGGAATTCCATTGGTACCTCCCTATTACTAAAGGTCTGCAGATCCTTTTCTGGCACAACCATGATCATCTTTCCTTTAGTTAGTTCCTTTATCACCACACAATTTTTCTATTAATCCCTACTTAATTCACGCTAAGACAGTTGTTTACTAAGTCCAGATAAATCAGGTATTTTACCTTTCCATTGGCTAGAAAAATCACGTAGCTTAGAAAGAATTATGCTATGTCAGTATATAGCGTGAACTGCTTTTGGTGAACCCCTACGGCATTTTATGGCATCAATTATTCCTATTTCCATTTGGTAAACAAAGGATGAAAAAATCACAAATCTCATCAATTCCTGTCTCAGAGCTCTGCTTATGGAGACTGAAGTGTCTCTTGTTAAAGGTAGCTTTCCATGGCGCTTAGGAAATAAGCTATAGCTGCTACGTATGTGATCAAACACTTCAAGAAGCTTTGTCTACCATCTGTATGTGAGAGAAAAAAGGGAAGAGGATGTGATTTTTTTTTTTTCCCCCCCACTGGCACAGTTTTGGAGTAACACCACCAAAGTCAATGAAACCACAAAAGCAAATCAAACCCAAGCACTGCTAAGCAGGTAGAAGCAGAACGGTGAGCAACTTTACAGGTGAAAGCAAGTGCCACCAACCTGAAGGTGGAAAAGTAGAAGTGATCAGAATGAATGCCACAAATGTCAATTTTAGCAACGACGGTTTGTATGGCCTGAAAGGAGCGAGGAGTTGTCAGAGATGGCAATGAGAAAACGTGGTTTTAGCACATTGAACAGGTTCTTTTTCAACGTAAAGTTGCTCATTTATCTGCTGTTTAGCATGCATTAGCTACCGTTGTGCCAAGTACGAGTCTTTAAGAGACCTGCTAGCCTTCTAACAACGCCTGCGCTCTTCTGCTGCGGAAAACACAGTACATTGCTAGGGAGGATTCCTTCTGAGGGCCACTGCTCAACTACGGACCCTCCTTCCATTTAGAAAGCATGAAGCTATCGCCGGAACTAGCGGGGCTGCTGCACAGCTGTAAGGAGCTACCCCCAAGGTAGAGCTTCAGCTGCTGGGAGTGTTAGTGCCCTAATGCAAATTCCAAGGGATTGCTGAAATACCAAATGTTAAATACCCAAGCGCTGATACTATCCTGTATGCTTTTCCAGTCGTAGGCAAGAATCTCCTGTCTTCGTGAGTATAAAGTGTATTTTTGAATACCAGCGCGTACTCTGTTTCTGTTGCAAACGTGTGTAAAATAACTGCAGCCCCTGCACCGCCGTGCAGGCCGCTGTGCTGCTTCGCAGACCCCTGGGAACCAGGGCCTCTGCATCTCAACAGCTGCCCCGTGCCACAGCAGCACGGGTAACGTTAGGGAGTGCTCCTGCGGGAGGAGAAAACGCAGGAACAACCGAGCTGCTTTGCACTGGATCAAAGCTACATTAACAGTGGATTAACAGCAAAGAGAGCATTAGGGGCAAAGAAGACGTAAAATGACTGTTACAAAAAGTAGATTTTTTTTTTAAAAAAAAAAAAGTGCAACCCTCCCAATACTGTGCCTGCCTGTGCTACCTTAAAAGCTAACGTCGTTAGTAAACCTTCATGCCCGAGGAGCTAGCTGAGTGAAAAGGAAGGGTCCGGTGAAGGTTTAAAATTCTGAAAGAGCACTGAGAATTCTATAACATGAATAACAGTACGGCAACGCGTGGGTTATACAGCAGCGACATTAAGAAGTCTCTTGAAAGAACTACAGCTTTATGGGTGAGATTTGCTGTGCGTTACTACGAAAGCCACACCAAAAAATCTGTGCTGCATGGGCAGAGCATAGGTTGGCTAGGCTGGATTTGTAAGGGGGGCTATGGATAGATTCTGACACAATTTACCTTCACAATATTCCTCAGTGGCATAGTCCCATGGGAGAACCGATGAACAAATACTGTTTCAATCAACCTTTTGATGTAGTGGAAAGAATGGCAGATACATGCCAAGCTAGAAACAGCAAGACAAAAGCATTTAAGAGTGCTTAAAAAAACAAGTGTGGCAAGACATTTGGAATAAGACTACAACACTAACAAGAAATACTGCTCAAGCCTGCGAACGGACTTACTTAACTACTGGATGCGGGCTTGATGTAAACCTCTCATCCAGTCCATAGACAAAAGGCATGCGGAAATAAAACAGAAAATAGATGAACAATGGACCTGTATATTCTATCAAAAATACCTGCAAAAAGAGAGAAAATAATTAGACAGCTGAATTAGATGGTGGTTTTCCTTTGGTTTCTTTGTGATAACTAATGCGGTGGTATGAACACCTCCACTGACCCAGGATGGCATTTAGAGAGGCAGGGAGGGAACAGCAGGTTTGGGCTTGGGCTATGAAAGTGGCAGACATGCACGTGGATGTTTTGCGATGCGTTTGCCTCGGTTGCACACAAACAGCCATTGCCGACACAGGGTGGGTACGGCGAGATAATCACGGCAGCCCGGAGATCACGATAAATACGCATGCATGCCTCATTTACGCAGCTCTCACCCTCCTCTTGCCCTCAAAAACTGTTGCTTTGTTTTGAGTTAAAATGAAATTTGGTGAAGAATTTATCTTGCAAAAGAGGAGCTCTGTTTCTAGTGAATGAATTCTGTTTAAACTGGGAACAGAGCACGGAAGTGTTCACAGGTGACCCCATCTGTATGAACAGTTAGCACAGCAGATGTCCCGGGAAATGATCAGTTCATTCTATGTTCAAACAATCTTTAATGTGAACACACACCAAAAAAAAAAAAAAAAAAGAGAGAGAAAAGGAAACAAAAAAACAGAGGAAACCAAAGAAGATATTATCTACCTTGATTTCATTTCACGTAAGTGTGTTATTGTTAGGAACATCACTTTAAATTGAAGGTAACTTTGGACCAAACATTAACAGTTGAATTTTCCACATTTCCCCAAGTGAGGAAGGTAGGTCCATACCTCATTTATGGAGAAAGAAGGGAAACTGATTGTACTTCTGTCAAAAAAAAAAAAAACAACTCCAACACAACCACTGTTTTCTAATGCATTTAGAGTTGCTCTGACAGGCAGAAAAGCTGTGTTATCGACTTCTGTAGCAATCAGCATTTTCTCTGCCAAAGGTCGGATTTGAATGTAGATGAGAAGTTTGTCTTTTTTATTTGATAAGACTGAAGCATTTCTTGGCTTAGATTTGAATGAAGTAGCTTGAAGGGCAGGGAGAGCAGAATGTACAGGAAAGATTATGGAATGGCAGAAGTCTGGTATTAGTCTGCGCTGTGATATTTTGTTATATATTAATGCATTTGTGTCTTGGAGTCTACATTGCCATTAGAAGTTTTGCCTGTCTCACTGTTTTTTGGATTGTGTAATAGCTGCATGATTTATCAGCATTGCATCCAGAGTAATGATGTGATGATTCAGTCTTGCAGAACGTTGGACTTTTTTTTTTTTTTACCTCCTATGAACATTGTCTTTGCCATTGGTCAAGATTTTATTAATGTCTCATCGCTAAGAAATGGTAGAAAATGTGCCTTTAAATTGCTGGGTGCTTTTCCCTTCACGCTGTGCTGTTTCATTAGAACTAGTGTAATATGAGCATCATGGACCTTCTGAAGAACTGGAAGGGTTACTGGTCACCTCAACGGCACAAACAGCAGCGCTGCGCTGCCTGCCAAGTGAGTCGTGACAGAATTTGCATTTGGGCTAAGACAGTAAATACGCGGGGTCTTCGCGGGTGGCTGCTAACAGTGCAGAAATTATCAGCTGTCCTTAGCCTGCCACGAGATCCTGGGGCGCAGCCACATGCAGCCAGCCAACGGCTCTTTTCATGCTTTTTTGAAGTCACTTCAGTTACTGACATGTGAAGCAGCTCACATGCCTCTTTGCAGGACAAACACATAGGAGTATAATCATCCCCCTCTTTGTCAGGAGAGTTACACGGGCCCTGTGAAACAGATCCCCACAGGCGCTTAAGACACCTGGCTCCTAGTGATTTTGCAGCAGACATCGAAATCCATCTGAGAACCTGCACCTTAGTTCAGTAGAGCCAACCTACCCTGCAGCAAGTTTTCCACTGCTGCCCTCCCAGGAAACGAGGCATTCAGAATATCCTGTTACTGCTTTCCCTGATTAAATGAACTGAAGCAATGAGGAGTCGTTGCCTGCATCCACTACCAGAGCAGGCATCATGCAGAAATATTGGAGAGAGACAAAAAGTGATGTAAGGATTAATCATGGAAAAATAGCCATTAAAACGGCTCAGACTTGAAGCATAGCTCACCGTAGTCCATCCTATCTGTGGCCCTAAATCTTTAAAGTATAAGGTAGCAGTTGTGCCAACAGGGAGGTGCTGCAGGATTTCCTCATCCCTCAGGGACTTTCCTTCTGAGAAGGAAAGAAGTAATTACATCTCAGTGAAATTCAAGTCAACTTTGGTAGCGTGCTACCTTTACATCGTGCTTTAACCAATCTGTGAGATTCTTTGATGTGATGTGGGTTTATTGGAATCTCAATAAACAACCCAAGAATGTTTATACTTAATTTTGATTTATCCCTGTAATCACATATAGGCCTGGATCCTCTATTCACACCAGGACAATTATGAGAATTCTCAATCCTACGTGCCTGCCTGGTCCAGTAGATTTGCTTCATCACTTCTGCAGCAGTTTGCTGATGGGTCAGTGCCCTTTAACACAGTTCGCTGACCTCCTGCTCAGCTGCACCTCCATCTCTCTCCTCCCCTCTTCTCATTGCTCATCGTCAGACAAACAGAAGCTAGGCTAAGCTGAGATGGGAAGGCTCTCCTACAGAAAATTCCATTCCCTCCTTTTTTTCCCAACCAACCAGCTAGGAGGTGATTCCACAGGACCTGAGCTAGTACTCCAGCTTTTAATGCCTAGATGGGGGGGAATCTCCAGCAGGCCAGCATTTTGTCATAGCAAGACCCACAACATCAGTCCGCGGGGGAATCTGACAAGGTAGATCTTTGAAGAAGGCAGTAAAGATACTCATACGCCTGTTTTCCATGGATGGATTCCACGCAACGAACTAACCTTCACCAGCACATTTTTAAGAGACTGTTTAAATAAAATCATACTTAATGGAAGCAAAAGAAGAAACTGCTACATTTTATACTGAATACTAAGTTTGTCAATTAGACTTTCTTTTGTGCACCCAGGCCACGTACTAAGAGGCTTCTAGTAGCAATACCTACAACTGCATTAATGAAGTCAGCCAGCTGGCACCAGCTTTGTCAGCAAATCCTACATCCACGGCGATGTGTTCTGCCTTAGCTCACCTCAGAAGAACTTTAATTCCTGCCTGAGAGCAGAGGATTATGTGAACGGATAGCTCTAACTCATAGTCCCTTTTAATACTTAATTTTGATTTATCAACAGCTGAGCTTCACTGTGGAAGTCATTTCACTGCAGCTAAGGGATATTAGTGTCTAGATTCCGTGCTGCCTGTCTGAAAGCAGCAGTGCTCAGTAGTTAGAAAGTGAGTTAATTACCACGCACCAGGCACATGGGTGAAACTCTGTCCAATACTTTGAAAGAATTAAATGTTCTGGATTCTCTTCAGCCTTCATAGTGCTAATTAACGTAGCTGGAAATTCATTCTTAAGAGCTAATACCCATGCAAAGGACACCTTTTATGCCAGGCCCCTGCTCAGAGCTTTGTTACTCCACTCCTCGCAAGTACTTACTTGGATCAAGTTTTATCGACTGCCTTGCTGGATACCACCGGGGATCTGTAAGACCATACAGAATTGAGTGATATACACTGTTTGGTTTAGATCATCCACTGTTATAATGAATGCATCACAACAAGATGAGATTTAGTTAAAGATTTTTAGGAATATTTATTCAACATATTATCTGTGAGAAATTATGCAGCAGAAAAAACCACAAGGGTGTATCAGGATAGTATAAAAAAATGATACTGAAATCTCACTGTGCTGGCATTCATGTGCAGGTTCCTTAGCGTTATGTGTGTGTACACCACACACTTCAAATTACGTAATTTTCTCCTATTTATATACTGGATATTCTGATGTGATGTGAACTGAATAGTTATACTCACATAATTTATGGAACATCAATCTGATCTCCCTAATTGTGGCATTTGGTTCCACCTAGGCAACAAAAAGTATTGTATACGTAAGATGCATATTTTGAAAGACAACGACTAGGTGTAAGACTATACAAGTAGAAACGTGACTCAAGCAGTGTAAGAGCATCCCATGCTCACAGCCAGCTAGGATTGGCACGGGTGCTTCAAAGTACTTCTTACAGGAAAAAAGGAGGACAATTTGTGGCATCGGTTTCAGAGGCAGCTTCTGTAGCAGTGGTCAAGGGTCACCACCACAGCAGTGACAGTTTGGTGGCTTATGAGTGAGTAATGCACAACTGGCACCACCTTAGTGAAGCAGCTGAAGTTCTGCTCTTTGCCCAAAAGCTCCTCCTGGAAAAGGGAAGTACTCCGGAGTCAGTATGAAGTGTGCATAATCGTTGTCTCTTCAGTGGCCAAAGAAAGGCTATCATCAGACGACATATCCTTCATAAACACTACGTTTCTTAAGAAAAGTTAGCAATTTTTACATAGTCACCTCACATTTTAAACAGACTTTTGTTTTACCTTATCTAGGAAGCATAGCTGTTTCTTTGTCTTCCAATCAAGGATTTCCACCTGATAGGACACAAAATGATAATTACTCATTATTGGCTAAATAATCTGCAAACTCTTAGTTGATTTCCAAATTCACAATCATTGTTCAGAGCGAGACACCATTTTTCTCTGATCTGTGGACTGCTGCACTTCTCAAGTGCTCAAGAGACACTTTATCGCAGCCAGGTGCTCAAAGCACCCAACTTGCAAAAAAATGATATTCTTGCCAAATAAATTGTCTTCCTGGACATATCCAGAAGAAGAAGTAGCCAACTTATTGCTCAAAACACACTGATCTGGGGTATTTTCTTGTGCTAGAGCAAAAGGAACAAATAAGGGATAAAGAAGTTTCACAGGAATCACTAAGGAACGGAATTTTTATGATTTGTAAAACTAGAAATGCAGTTTGAGGAAAAAAATTAAATGTGCAAATATATGCATGTACGCAAATATTCTGAGTACATACAGCTTGAACATTAATGTGCATCGTTCCCAGAATAGCTGAATTGTACAGAGAGGGTAAAGCATTGGTGGACATAATGAAGAGATGCAGCTAAAGATCTGGCCTTGACAAATCTTTAAAAGGTTGTTGCAGGAATACTCAGAGTTATTCGTGCCTCTCAGTTCACCTGTATTCGCAACTACACATTAGCATTTTATATTCCAAGCAGTG